CGAATTTTAAAAATTTTGTTAAATACTAATGATAAAATATTATCAACTCTTTCTGATAATTCAAAATATGTTGTATCAATATTTTGAGATATTTTTTTTGCTTTTTTGATTAAATCAGATGATGCTGAATCTCTTTTAAGTATATCTAACTACACATCATTAAATGTATCAATATTAAATTGAAGAACTCAACGATTAACACGTGTTTCAAATCAGCTATTAAAAAAATCTTGATTTCAGCATCAGGAAGTATATTAAATATAGCATCTTAGCCTGCTACAATATATTCTTTTTGTTTTGTGATTTCTCAAATAACTTTGTTGATAGCTTTACGAATATTAATATTATTTGCAATCTTAATCAATAAATCGTTAGAAATTAATTGTTTGCTATCAATTTAATTAACTTGAGTTAATATATTTTCTTCTTGTTGATTTAATAATCATGAAATTATTCTAATTTCTTCTAAATCAGAAAAATTTAATACTATATAACGATAAAATAATCCACTATCAATAAATTGATAATTTAGTCTTTTTGCTAATAATTCGCCCATACTTGATTTGCCTGAAGCTGTTTGTCCATTAATCGCAATATTAATTTTTGGCATGATGATAAAAAAAAATAAAAAAAATAATTGGAATAATAATATAATTAAATATAAAATATAATTTAATAATAAAAAAAATATTTTCAAAAATTAATTCTGTATCTATTTTATATAATTAAAATTCTAATCAATTAATTAACTAATTAGATTTATTAAATATCTTTTTTCATTTTCAATTAAGAAAATAATTAAAACTAGTTGTTAAAATTATAATTCTGTTTTAATTTTTTTTAAATTATAATATTGATAGAGTTCTATTCTATTAAACAAAATTTTATATTTATCATAAAATTTTTGAGCTTCTTTATAATTTTTTCTATAAAAAATATAATCATTTTTTAATTTTTCTGATTCTTCAACAAATTGTTTCATAGTTTGCTCCATAATTACACAATTA